CGTAATTTAAAAAATATTTTTAATTAATGTTTAATGTCGCAACTATATGCGTATGATAAAAAAATCTTATACTAATTATTAATATTATTAATAAAATCTTATTAACAATCGATAAACAATTTCTTTAAACTAAAAATACAACATGTTTAATTTTTATTGCAATAAAACTTCTGCAACAAGTATTATAGTTATAATATAACAAAATATAAAGTTCTTCTTGCAACATTAATAAATTTTTTATTTATTAATGTTGCAAGAAAATTAAAAAAATTTTTATTTAAAAATTTTTACAAAAAATGACATGATAGAATTATTTGATAAACGAGATCATCTCCAGTCATCTAGAAAACTGGGAAATTACTTTCGTTCCTTGTGCACAAAAAGTAATTTTTGAAAAGTATCATATATTTATTTTACAACTCACAGGCAACATAGCATTGAATAAATGAGTGATAAATGATGCTCCATGTTTAACTGCTTTTTCTCCTTCATTTAAATTTGCTATAGAATGTCCTAGAACATACAAATTGCCATACAAATTCAATTAAAGAAAAATTTTATAATAAACGGTGAGATTCAATGTAAATTATAAGAATTAAAATATAGAACTTCAAAATAAGAAACTTTTACAATTGCATTTAATTATATGAAAGTACATTAGCAATAAGAGCTATTAAAACTTCAACTTACCAAGAGATACTTTAATATTTCTTCTATATAACTCTTCGATAACAAGTGTAGCATTCGATATTTCAGGTGCTAATGTAAACATGCACACATTGTCTAGATCACCATACATATCAGTTACTGATTTAAATCCCTATTAGAAAATATATAAATTTAGCACAATGTGTTGATTATTTTATAAATTTACTCAGATAACTATTACCTGTTCAAATTTTCTGATATAATGTTCTGGATGGGCACCTTTCTTGTCTGGACTAATAAATGGTCCTTCTATATGAACACCCAGCACACCAGCACCATGATTACCTCCATTTCGTTTCTTTATTCTTGGTAAGATTTTGTGGTATATCTCGGTGGGAGATGTAACCAATGTAGGGCAAAAAGATGTTACTCCATGTTCCAACAATCCCTTTGCTACTTTAGCAATGCCTTCTTCCACGTTATCAATATTACATGAAAAATCTATACCAAATCCTCCTGACAAATAAATGCAGATATTAGATCGATTTATTTATACAAGTATAAAATTATAAGATTCTTATTAAATTATTATAACATCTACATTAATTGTAACAACTTATGATTTCTTTCACATTTGATAAAATATTTTTAATTCTATTGTTCTCTCTCCATTTTATGATCTGTACGAATTATTAATTTTTTGTTTAACAAAAGTTATAAAAGATATATATGTGTAAAAAATCTCTGGTTTTATTTCAAGTATATGTTGTACAAAAGAATTTATTTGATTAAATACCATTAATTTGTACATCTATATATCCTGGTGAGATCAAAGCGCCGCCACAGTCTATTCTAACATCTGGCTTGATTTTCTCATCGTAGAAAATTTTCTCCGGATTCACTATCTTTCCATCTCGCACCCATAGATCCTCTGTCTGAATCCTGCTGTCACGCAAGATCTTGCAATTGCAAAATTGCTTCAGTACTCTTTTATTATCTCGTAGCATGTTCAATGATTGCATGATTGGAAATAACTCTGAGTCACCTTAATTTCATAAATAAGAATCTTATCTGTATACCCAAAGTATTATCAACAATTATCAATTATATGCAATTCACGACATCCATGTTGCTAGGATGATTTAGCACTTAGATCACTAAAATGGCGATTGTTGGGTGAGTATAAGTGATGATTCCCAACCAAAGATACATCTTGATAAGAAAATTAGGTCACTAATGAACTCAATCTATCAACTATGTTCAGCTGTAAGAACATAAAAAAATTGTCATTAAAAACTTATGATAACATGTAACTTATAATACATAAGTTACATATTATAATACATATTATAAATATTATTATATCTTTCTTTACTATAATAAATTCTACAATATTTTGTAATTATTTCTTATATTTAAAAATATATATACACACAAAATGTTAAATTATATCATTTTAACTTCTATCAAATTTGCATCTTAAATTGATGGTTTCTTTAATTAAACAATATTAATATTAATATTAAAAAAATATATTAATATCAGCCCTCCACCTGTATCGTGGCCATAGTGAGTCTTGTGGGTCTTTCAAGAAACAGTTAAAAATTTCAAGTAGCTGTAACATTGCCGGTTACTTATAATATAAAGAATAAAAAGAAGCAGATTAAATTCTGGGATGAAGAATGGACTCGAAATACGATTTCGAAAAATACATACATCGCTACATGATGGAAGAGATGAAAGTGTACTCGATCTCGAGACGAATTTCGTATGGTCTGCGCAGATATGCGGCCATTTAAACATTTGCATCACGACAATTTTGAAGTGACATGTCGAGACTTATCCATGAGAATTGCTTCCAATACTAATGAGAATTCAAAACTGATTTTATGGAAGTCCGCGTTACTATAAAAATTTAAATTATTAAGAGTAAGAAATTGATAATATAATACTAATTTTATGATTTATTACAGTATCCTGATACAGCTGACGTGCGCCTAATTTAAATAACCGCGGCAACATGGCGGATAAGGTGTCATTGACGTTAGTTGTTAGAAAATATTTAAGTATATGCGCAATACCTGAGTCACAGTATTGTGCCCGGGTTTCTTCCATCATACATACCTGCACAACGAGAGCGAATGAGAAACGATCAAGATCTCAAGACCGATCTTAGATTTGAGAATCGATTCGTCGATTTAATTGAAGCTTTAGAATCGATCTAGAAAATCGAGAATCGAAGGTAAAAGAATCGATTTTCTAAAAAATCAGTCTTGGATCGAACATCTCTATCTCAGCGATCCTGGGCGTAAAGAGGAAGTAAGTTGGAGGTGTTTCCAAGTGTTTCTGTTAAGAAGAAGTCGTGTTTCACATTCCATAGTTTTTCTCGGACGAGAATTTACGCCAAGTACTATCCAAGTAAGCAATTAAGTAATAAAAGTTTCTCTTAGATAAATAAATGTTAAATTGGTTCTATTTAGATTAGAGGTTTTAACCTTAAGTATTTTATGTTGCTGACGTTTGATTTTTTTTCGAAATATACTTATTTTTACATATTGTATATTACCTTTATATTGTCCTCGTTATTATTATAATTATCTCAATATAATACAGTGAGTAGAGGTATTTTATAAACAAAGAAGATATTTTAGATACATTTTATTATATGTATATATATTGCATGAGAAATTTTATTTCCTTTCAATATTTTTTAGACAATGGATGCATTTGGCGACAATTTTGTCAATGAACCTGATGTAGATCCAGCTGCAGAGTTCTTGGCAAGGGAGCAGGATCAGTTAGCTGGTTTAGAAGATGACATTACACCAATGGCTGTAACTCTGGCTGCAGCAGGTCAAACTGAAGGTAAACACATGTCTATATAAATAATAAGTAGAAAATATTTCTAAAATTTAGATACATATTGTTCACACATTGTTCATTTTGTATTATATACATTTGAGTCCATGTTCATTTGTATTGTATATATCTATATAGCATAAATTTCCAAGGAATGGCCTAAAGATGTTCAGAGGATATTCCTATATCCTCTAAGTCTTAAGGATGTTCTTAGAATGTTTTTCGGATAAAGTATATGTGCTATATAGATGCAAATTTTATTAACATAAACAATACAAAAATTATAAACATAAATAATATTTTATAGATGAGCTGTCTGGAAAATTTGGAAATTTAAAAGTTGGTCCAGGAGGTGATGCTGAAGGCAGTTTTGAAATTGTAGATACCATTGGGCAGTCTGTAGAAGGACAAATACCAGTAGTGTCAGGTAAGAAATTATTTTATAACATCTCTATCTCTTAAAAATAGTTACGGTTATAACACACAAAATGCAGTTACATCATAGAACATGAAATATGCAAATAAGATTTTCCTTTTTGCAAATGCTTCGTTTAGGAAATATTGTGACTTCTTAAGTCATGGAACTATAGATACAAGTAATCTAGGTTTATCTTCTTTACAATAATCAAAATATAATAAAATGTAATTAAATGTCTTGTTCAAAATAATGGTCTCCAACCCAAAGACAGTAACTTCATGACTTTTATATATTATATATTATATACATAGAACCAGCACCTCCTCCACCAATTAAGGAGGAACCTGAAAAGATTAAAAAGTGGAGGGAAGAACAAAAAGCACGTCTTGAAGAAAAAGGTAACGCAATTTTATTGTAAAATTATTTTAGGAATAGTATGATTAATAAATGTGCAAATTTTTTAGATACAGAAGAAGAAAAAAAGAAAGAGGAATGGAGAGAAGCTGCAAAGAAAGAATTAGAAGAATGGTATAGGCATCATGCAGAAGCTATTAATAAAACGAAGACTACTAACAGGTAATTTTACTAATCTTTTATCTTCTTTCTTCTTGTACACTTTTATTTCGTAAAAAATTGAACTAAATTATTTGAATTAAAGTAACTGAACTAAATTGTGATTGCTAATTAGAATATTTTATGACCGTCTATTAAACATATTTAACAAGGCTCGTATCCCTATATAACAACGTAATATTTCCATTGATAATATATTAAAAACGTGAAATATTGTTAAGAAATATAATTAATGTTGGACTAAGTTATTATATCATTTGACTTACAAGTTAGTCAACTAGATAGTCAAATATGAAACTTAATCAAATACAATATGGATTAGTCCATTATTATGCTATGTATAGATTTTTGAAGTTTTTAATTGTGTTATTTCCGTTTCGCTTCTTAGGGAATCAGCCAAGTAAGTTAAAATATCTTTATACGCATGAAAACATGCATTGCATTACATTTATGTATTATTGTAACACGATTTGCTTTGCAAACTCTGAGACTAGGGCTGCGTTCCGTTTCACGCATAATGCGCATGCTACATTTATCCTTGTTATTCATCGAATGTTAAACAAGGATAAATAAAGGATCATATGTACCATGCATGAAATGGAGCCTAGGATTACGTTCGCTTTTGGCGCTCACGCATTATAAACTTCATTCTATTTTTCTCATTCATTACATGCAAAGATAGAAAGAAGCTTACAATAAAGCATAAAAAATAAACACAGCCCTAGTCTTAACCGAATGCAACCTATATTGGCTATTGAATGTAAATTAGGTGTAAACTGCAGTTCTCTCTCCCCTCCCCCCTCCTTTCCTATCTATCCTCCCCTCTCTCTCATACACATACTACATATCATGATCGCTTCTTAAAGTCACTTTGAGATTGCACTAAATGACGTTGCTTAATAAGTTATTCTCAAAAGAGTATTTATATTTTATAATATCCATAAACTGATTAAGTTAAATGCTTTATTTCTTGAATGTTGTTAATGATGAATTGTCCCTATTGCCTTTCGTATTAAAACTATTTCTATATGTCGAAAGAAAGAAAAGCTTATTAATTAAGCACTATTTGCTTACGCACAATATGGATACTATAAAGAACTGTGATTGCATAACTCTTACATCAAGTCTAATAGCTACAAGTTACACTTATGTCCATAATATCAAAATATAAATTTTTTTTTAATCTTTCTCTGCGATATATTAATGAAATAGAAATATCACTTAATTTCTCATTTCTTTACATTACTAACTGATATACAATGCATGATTTGGTATTGATTTAATACATATTTCTTCACAAATAGGAATGCGGAAAAGCAATTTGTCGCCGAGGCAGATGAAGTTGAACCAGGCACTGAGTGGGAGCGCATCGCCAAACTTTGCGAATTCAATCCAAAATCGTCCCGCACTTCCAAGGACGTTTCCCGGATGCGTTCGATCATTTTGCAATTAAAACAGACACCGCCTACTCCCATTAACGCTTGATTACATTAAACAAGTTATTGTCGCAATTAAATCTTGAGAAGAATATGAATTACAATAAACAAGAAAAACTATGATTAAAAGATAAAAAAAGATATAATGTACGTCGTGATTACGACAATATTAACAAAAGCAAAATTCACATATGTTCTGTTAAATAAGTAATATTATTATATATAATAAAAGTTATTAATAATAAATACATTATAAAATATGAATATAAAAACATGCATTTTTTTTGCTTAAGGTATGATGGAGAGACAAACTTGAGGAAATCGGCGAATGTTTTAATAATGAGTATTTATTATAATTATAGAATGAACAATAAAAAGAAGTTATGCTAATTTTAAAAAGTGAGTATGAAGGCTTCTAGTTACAAGTCTCTGTAAAAGTGTCTCAAAATATATCCTCTTATCTTACCTCGAATATATTTATGATTTGCTTATCCAATAACATTGTGCAAAAAAGGTTCATATCTGGAGACATAGTAATGTCTCGGCGCTATATATTTTACGCGACATTAACACAGTTTAAAACTTTTTGAGGTCAGAGAGTTGCGTCAACATTAATTAGCTAACTTCAGGTAAATTAGTTTTTTTTTCTTTGTTAATATAGAATTTAGAAACAATCCAACTGTTCTAAAATTTGGCAATTCAAACTCTTGAGATTATACTTCAACAAGAGTTTTATCATCCTTTGCGCATAAAAGGCGATAGCGGACAAAATTTAGATGTATCGTGTATGTAAATACAGCACATTCGAGTATGGGCTTAAAAAATCGTACTGGTGAAATAATCTCGACATCCTCACTTTGCCTACTATGTTGTTTCCTGTGCGCGAAGAATAGTAAATGTGTTGAATACAGTAGATATTTAATTTGTAAATAGTTTTTTTCTGAGGGATGTCTTGTTGAATCTGTAAATTAGAAAAAAAAAAGCTTTATGTATTAACATGAAACTGTAATATTATAAACAATGTCACAATTTTTAATTAATCATACTTTATCGATAAAACTTCATTCTGATTCATTAAAAAAATAAAATAAAATTTAGTGCAATATTATATACCTGTATGGATCACGTTTTATAGCTAATTGCATATCGTGTCGCCAACGGTAAATATAAGGATATGTATCAGGACAAATTGTAAATGAAAGTGCGGTATAAACAGCATAATCTAATTTCGTTGGTGAAGACCTAAAAACATCAATGATATGAAATATATTCGTCTTTGTGTAAAAAATAATGAAAAAAATTTGTTTACCCTTCGATAAATATTAAAGAACCTTCTTCTGCATCTTGCATATCATTATCAAAATCTTGAACAAGTTCTGGTGAGGATGGAGGTGTAAAAAATTCTAAACTATCTGAAAGATAAACAGTTAACATTAATTTGATTATAAAAAAGATTAAAAATGGATTCAGACACAATAAAAGAAATAAAGAATAATAGATTTCAACCTACCAGAAACCGAATATACCGGAATGCACGGATAGGATGAAATCTGTTTTTCCTTGTTCCTTATTTCTTTCATTGTATCTGAGTCCTGGGATATCATAATTTCACAGAGGAAAAAGAAGATATAGATATAAAATTTAGAAAAATTAAATTCTATAGAAAAACTAAATATATGATACCTGTATCTTCATTATTATCAATTTCAGTAGTTAATGAGCACATCTTTAATTTATCACAAACGTATTGTATGTCGTTGGCATCTATTTTTTTTGGCGTCTGTTGGCAACTTACTGGTTCACTTTCACAATTTGCTAGTGCATAAACATTATTAATCGGATTTATCTATTAAAAAATATAAACATTAGGAAAGTTGATTAATGTAAACATTAAAGCGTATTATTGGATAGATTTTTATACCGTCGAGTAAAATAATTGTTCCTTATTCTTAAATCTTTGCTCCAAATATCTTTCAAGTTTCGTTAATCCATCGTCACTCCGAAAATCAACAAAATCTTTCAAAAATGGCCAATACTCCTTCCAAAGCACTTGATATTCTTCAGCAAGATCTCTAGAAAATATATATCAAAAGAAAACAGATTATTAAGAGAGAAAGGGAAATCGCTCGTATTTGTAAAGCAAAACACTCAAGAATAATCAGACCACGAGATAAATAAGAATGAGATGTAAATATAAAATAATTTTTTAAATAAATATGAAATGTTATAAACGAGAGATGAAATGTTTCGACTTTTCGTAATCTTCATCAATTTCTTGAAAAATATTGAAAGTAATATAAGCAAAGAATTTTAAATGCGGATAGTAAGCAATGAAATATTATTCTTACAATGTATTATATAATTTAATATTTAAATTCAATATTAAATTATTAATTATGTGAAATTGAGTTTATAAATAATAGAGAGATATAGAAGTTTATCAAAAATATAATTAACTATGACTTAATTTAGAAATTGACAGGTTTTACAAGCAATTGCAATTTTTATATTTCTGAATATTTTAAAATATCAACACATATATACACATTGCAAATATATTAATATCATCAATTAATATACAGTAATAAATTTTACGTAATAATTAAATTTTAATAATAACGTAATAAATACGTAATAATTAAACAATAAATTTTGGATGTATACATACCTTCCGACACGTTCCAATCCTTTTTCTGTATCTTGCAATCTTAGGACTATACTAGGACTATTCATAATACCAGGTGCGTCACCTTGTCCTTTTTTGGGAGTAACACGTGGTGGCGTTTTCCACTTTTTTCGAAATTCTACTGCCTGCGTTTTAGTCATTGGACCGGCAAATGCTCTTACTTCTACATGAGGACTGATAGGATCTTTGTTCAAATTCTGAAAATAATAAAAACAATAAAAATAACAAAAATTCTATTCTTTACACGACTAATATAGTATATCCGCTTTTTTTTTCAAGATTTTGCTCATGCAAACGTACTTACAAGCGGATTATTCGGCGAGAACGGTTCTCCGATGATAGGTGGACATGCATTACCTTCTGTTCTTAATACAGGTACATAGAATTGATCTTCTAACAACATACGTATCTCGCGCTTTAGTGCTTCATCTTCCTCGCATTTTCTATTGCATATTATCTAAAATCAGGAGCTTATATATAAGATGTTTCCGAGAACGATGATCTTAACCTTGCAAAGATGCAAATTATAACACTAAATAATTTATTTGAAACGTACATCTATAGGCATCTGTTCATACTTATTTTTCAAGGTTTTAATACATTGGGAATAGGAGACAAGAACCCGAACGACATCTTTAAAGCCAAATTTAACAGCAAAATGTAACGGGGTCTCATTGAGTCCTTTGTCTGGTGTATTTAAATATAAATCCTGCATAATCTGTTCAAGATTCAGGTATGTTTTACATTTATCTTCCCCATAATGCCGTTGCATAAATTTGGGATCCCCGACGGTGTTTAATAAGAATTCGCACATTTTTGGTTTACCTTTTTTCGCTGCTATATGTAAAGCATTATATCGAGAGCCCATCTAAAAAACATAAGTGTTTTCTATATTAAAATATATACATA